TTTGTCCTTAAATTGTTATGCTCAAATTATTAACTATCTTATTAATGTGTCTACCTTTTAGAATGCTGTTTTTCCCAAACAAGTCAAAGGATGATGTATATATAAAATTAGATAACACTATACTTACTAAAGAAATAACAACTGAATTTAAATTTCATGTACAGTATTTTCAGATCAAGTGAGTTATAAATTGCATGCAAAAAATAAAGGGTAGTGGAATTTAGTCTCTTAAAATCCTCCAACACTTAGATTTTCTGAGACCTAACAGGCATTGAAAGTCATGAGTTACTTTCTGCTCAGCAAAGTGCTACATCACACTAAGTAAAATTATCTGCAAATAATTATATCACACTGGAATCATTGGAGAGAGAGAGCATTTTACCCTACATAAGATCATGAAAGTATTTCTTAGAATTTTACCCTACATAAGATCATGAAAGTATTTCTTAGAATTACCTGAATTAAGATAGGTCCAAGGGATAAAGTGATTCAGAATAGATGCACTAAAGCATCAACTAACATTGTTTTCCATAATTTCATATACTAAAGAATTTACTAAAACTGTAAAGAATGAACCACAGGGGTTAGAAACAGGAAAACTTGGCTTAAGTAACCAGCACTTAGAAAATAATCCAACCATATCACATGTAAACACTAATTCTCCCATTTTTACAATCCTCACATTGCGTAAGCACCAACCAAAACCAAATATTTCATCCGTTCCAATTTTATTTACAAACACTAGATGACATCTGAGGGTAAAAGGAGCTGAAAATAGTGTCCTCCTGTGGATTAACCAAGTTGGGGAGAGGGGAGACCTGATATGATAGCCCAATGGTTTTAGCAAAAGTTTTTGAAAATATCCAAGAGAAACAACTGTGTATGTTAGAGTCACAAAAATTACAATGAAAATGGCCCTCCCTGGTGGCGCAGCGGGTTAAAGCACAGCACTGAGACTCTAAAGCCGCTTCCGCATGAGTTCGATTCCCGCCTGCCCCGGAGGTGACCACATGGTGTGGCAGACCTCTCCTGGCCCGCCCGCTGCTCCCCTCAGCAGTGTACTTCGTCCATCTGCCTGTTCTGCTCCCCACTCTGTCCCTGGTGAATCCTCTCACCCTCCACATCTCTGGCCTGTACCCCAGTTCTGTATGCACGAATAAATAAATCTTTAAAAAAAAAATTACAATGAAAAAAAAAATGTGAAATAGAGAAAGCAATATGTCAGGTCCTAGTACTTCCAGGAAATACAATAACTATATCTGAATTAAATACTTGTCTCAATAGTCAGGCATAAACATCTAAGCCAGTGGTTCTCGAATATAGGCTCTGCACCAGCCAATCAGCTTCACTTCACCTGGAACTTCTTCAAGATGCAAAATTTCATTACCTACTACAGACTTACTAAAGCAGAATAGTTCTCCAAGTAATTCTGAGGATTTGTGAAGCAAGGCACAGTTAGTTGTAAGTCACTTCACCAATAGGACACTAAACTACGCCAGTCTCCAACTACTGTCATTGTAAGTTAAGTATATGTGCACTTTTGTTCTTTTGCAACCAAAATAAAGGGGGGAGGACAGTTATCTAGTAGTAACAAAGAATGGAATTGCATGAGTTTGGTAAAAATCATTCCTTTCAATTTTCTGACTACTGATCAAATCAAATTTTATTCTAACCAGTGAGAGTTTTTTTGTAAAGTACCCCATAGCAAGATTTATCAATAATGAAGTTCTACAATTATTTCATGATATACTTTATCCTTATTTTTTTTCCCTTTCTTGGTAGGACAGATAATACAGAACAAAACATTACCTATTCTTTTTAACTACAACATTTTGTCAAACTTTCCCAGCATCAGAATAACCTGGAAAGTCAAACTACACCTTGTGAAACAGACCCCACAGTTCCTGATTCAACAGGTGAAGGGTGAATCCCAAGCACCAGCATTTCTAAGCAGTTCTCAGGAGGTGCTGACTGGGCTGCCCTGAGGATTACACTTTGAGAACCAAGATCTAGTCCAAGTCTCAAGATAAGTCTGTCTCCTGTATGCTATTTCCAATCACTCTCAGTTTGAAGTACAATGCTATATGTAATGTTATACTTGTTACTGAATTTTATGATGTCCAGGTTGCTAAACAGTTATCTTGTTTACAAAGGCGTTGTCTCCTTAACAACATATTCTTTAAGGGTAGGAAACCTTATCTTAAAGGTTTTTGTCTCCAAGAATATACCGATTACAACTGGTGGAGCTAGTCAAAGAAAGTGGAATGGGCTACTTGTTTTTAAATGTGAGATTTTTTGAAAGGAAATGAGAAAAAACATTTGCTGTGGGAGATTATGTTGGACAAATTATGTAGGACAGTCATTAATCTTTACCTAGGAATGTTCTCTTTGTTCTCTTAATGTTTCACTGTGAAATGAAAGGATGATTTCTATTTGGTAATCATCCATAAAATTATCACATGCAGTACACAAGTAACCTATAAGACTATAGCCAGTACTATAACCAGAACTTTGCCTGACCCAAGAGTATCTGTTACATGTCAATTTTGGGGGTTGTAGCAAAAAGCCATCTAACATGTCTCTCCCTCTGATTTATTATTTTTGTATTCTATTATTAACTTCTGTCTTGACATAAAATAATTGAGAGCATTTCATTCTAAACATTATTCCTTAATTCAACTTTTAAAGCTAAATATGTAGGTGGTTTGTTCTATAATAGGCCAATTAGTTAAAAAAAAAAAAAAGTGGATTACAACTGAGATGGAAAAAAATATATATACAAAAAAAAAAAAAAGTGTAACCAAAGCAGGCATGTAAAACTTGCACAGTGTCCTTTGGTATTATAGTTTTGTTTGTTTGTTTGTTTTGTTTTGTTTTGTTTACAGTTACCTGCAAAAATAAAACAGGAACCTGCCAAATTCAGGTAGAAGGAGGTGACCATCATAACATAATTTAAATTTGAATTTTATACATCAAAAAAGCTTCACCTTTTATTTAGCTTTCTAATTATATGCTTGTGGCTTCAACATTTTCACAATCACTTTCCTGTCTCAAATACATTTAGCACACTCAGAGCCACAGGCCTGGCAGACATTTTTTTTTTCCCACTTTAGAGCCCTCCAAGTGAACTTCAGGTCTCATAGCACAAACTCCTTGAAGTCAGCCTGAATATATACCACACACCGATTGTGGTGTTTTCCCAACCTTCTTTGTATAAGAATAAACAATTCTATTTTCAGGGGTTAGAGACAGCCTAGTTTAGTCCAGGCTGTACTATAGAATAGTCTACAGTGGAATTTCAGAGGTTGATCCTTTCAAATGCCTCTAAACATTGTCTTCAGAAGAGCAACAAGGGAAAATCTATTATAATTGAATTTTGAAGAAAAGTCTTACTTAGTTAATAAATACTTAATTTTCACTTTGCTCTTACCACTTTTTTTTTCTTTTAAAGTATATAAGCAAATCTTTAGTGTGTCTTGGAGTAGTAAGACTAGGGAAACTTCTAGCTGATTAAATAAACAGAGAAGAAATTTAGAAGACTTCAAGCATACAGGGGATCATACAAAGGAGGCCTGGAATTCTAGCTCTGCCATAGAACTGAATTTTGTACTTGTGGGTAAATTTTTTAAACTCTCTTAATTTGATCTAATTTCTAAATGATAAATAACATCTCCAACTCCTTTTTCTTTTTAAGGAAAATAAAATAAGATCCATTGTGAAAATGCTTTGCACAGCTCAAAAAGCTAAGAGTCAAAAGTTAGCTAACTACTCTACTACTGCCAGTTATGGTTTTAAAAGCTCTTTTCTCTTCTTATTTGTTTTTGGTTACATTATGTTAAACTAATAGGTCATTTTTATAATTATACTCCTATGATTTTACATTATAATTGAGGCGAAAAATGAATATTTTCAAATAAGATCACAATTGAAATGTCAAAAATAAAGTCAATAATTGTTTTATCACCATATATTCTATATATAGGAAAGATTTTGGGGTCTGACATGATTTTCCAACAACTTGGTGAAAACAATTTTCATTGATTATTAAATTATGGCTATTTAATTTGACAAATTACTTAATTTTTCCATCTCTTAGGTTCCTCATCTGTAAAAAACTAAAAATTTTTAATTATAATTCTTAGTGATTAATAAGATTAATGTGAAAATGCACATAAAATGCTGGGAAATGAGCCAGGCACTTAGTAAATATTCAATCAATTAGGCCTATAGTAACAGACTGCCTTTTTGTTGCTTACTTCTTTTCCCCAGCTTTAATACCAGGTTTTAGGATTTCAACTTCTAACTAAAATCAGACTTGTTTACCCTGCTCTTAAATTCTAACCTAATAATGAGTAAATCAAACTGAAAGTCTCTTCAGAACACACCTGGTCTATGAGTGTGGCTCTAAGAGGAAACAAGTAATATTATACAGGTTGCAATTTTCAGCTACAACTAGAATTCAAATTTCAATTTCCTTGATGTCCTCTCTGTCATGTTTTCCACATACTGTATAAAAATTTCTCAGATCACAAAATCTGCTTTTTCATCTCTCAAGAGGTGATAACTGCCATTTCTTTAAAGAAGACAGAACTCAAATACCCTGTCGCCTGACAACTGCTCCTCTCTGCATTTGTACCCAGATATTCTTTGTTTTTTACAGTAAAACAAGTTTCCCTCATCCAATATAAAATAATCCCCTCCCACTTTATTTGGCATCCCGATCCTTTGCTCTCTAGTGAGAAAAATATATTCATCTGGATCTGACGATTTACTGGAACTAGGCTCCTGGATGTACTGCAGGAATATTAAATGAGCACATTAAATTTCTTACTTCTCCACTTCCCCAACAGAAAACATGCTAAACTTTAGCCAATAAATGATTCAACTAATTAAAAACAGTTTTAATTTCAGTACATATAAAAAATGAGGTAGTCTCTAATTAAGAAGCCTAATAAACCACTTAAATGTTTATACTCTACCCTATTAGAAACATCCAAACAAAACTACTAAAAGGAAAAAAAGAAACAGAAAATAAGAATATTTCAGTAAGTTTCCTTCATATAAAAATAGAAATGGGCCCTCCCTGGTGGCGCAGCAGGTTAAAGCACTGCACTGAGAATCTAAAGCCACTTCAGCATGAGTTCGATTCCCGCCTGCCCCAGAGGTGACCACATGGTGTGGCAGACCTCTCCTGACCCACCCGCTGCTCCCCTCAGCAGTGTACTTCATCAATCTGCCTGTTCTGCTCCCCACTCTGTCTCTGGTGAAGCCTCTCACCTCCCCTGAGCCTCTGGCCTATACCCCAGTTCTGGATGCACAAATAAATAAATCTTAAAAAAAAAAATAGAAATGAAGCAGAAGAAATTTATAGCAAAATGTTGTGACCTGAATTAACATCATATGAGCATTTTTAGATGCAAAACAAAAAAGATATGAAATAAGCATTAACTCAGGAAAGAAAATAAAACATAGAAGTTATCTCAGATATTATAATCAATTAAAATCACCAAGTTGGACAGCTATAACTTAAATTTTAAAAAATCATAAGAGAAAACTCAACAGACAATAAAAATTATAGAAGAATCAAAAAACAGTGTTACATGACAGTCAAAAAATCTCAACTTATCTGCAATTGGTGTCTTTACAAGTGAAGCAAAATAATGTAAACAAACTTCTGTTTTAAACTAAAATCCAAGAGAATGTTTGAGAAATAAAGAAGCTATGAAGATTTATCAAAAGGAGTCTTTTGTAACGGGATTTCTTAATTCTGTGATATTAAATGTAAATGTAGTTTTAAAACCCTCTGGGCTTCCATACAAAAAGACAAAGTCACTTACAAAAGAAAGACAACTAGGTTGGCATCAGAAACATATTTGAAAGCAATGGAGCAACATTTCTAAGAAGCACAAATGAAAACAGTGAGACAAGGGCTTTGTAGTTAATTAACCAAGTTGTTCATTTAATTATTAAGAATATAGGAAAGCATTAAACTAAAAGAACTCAGACAATATAGTGTACACAAACACTTTGAATATACCAGAAAAGAAATTTCATTAGACCCAAACAATGACCATGTTACATTAGTAACGGGTCAGGTGATGAACACTAAATATATTTAACTCCAAATTTGAAACAGAGATTTGGAACAGGAAAATAGTTTATGAATATTACTTGACCTGCCAAAGTAGAAGTAATTTGATTGGAAAAATAAGGTTAACAGAAATAAAATAGATTAAATGAATCAATTGCTACATAGATGATAGATGTTAACAAATCAAATAGTAGATCCCTCAATAAGGTAAAGGGAGACAATGAAAATTCAGAAATATATTTTTATAGCCTACTAAAAGTATGACAAACATTATTAGAAGAAACAAAAAAATTCTAAATCACAAAGCAGTTAAAAGGAAAAAGCTACACTAATAAATATATATCACAAATATAGCACAAGGCACAGATGAAGTGTAACAAAGTTATAAAAATTGTAATAGAGGTAAAGTCAAACCTATCAGTCAATAAATAAAAATAGATTGAATCACTTGAAGAACAAAATCTTAGATTGCTTTAGAAAGATATGCCTTATATAAGAGAAACACCTAAGTAATTTAAAATCTATTGCTAAATAAGTAAGGATGAGCAAAGGTACAGTAAGCAAACAAAAATAATCAGAAAGAAGGAATGTGATTCAGATAAAAATTCAGTTAGAATTTAAGCTCAAAAATTTTTAAGTATATGCAAAATTACAATTTTGTAATGCTGAAGCCACAATTAAGAACAAAGATGTAACAATTCGGAATATTTTTTTGCAAAAAATAATATAAAACCACTTTCAGTTATAGAAGATAAAGAAATAAATAGAAATAAGAGATGAAAGGGGCCACCCTGGTATCCCAGGGGTTAAGTGTCGGTGCTATTACTGCAAAGGCCTGAATTTGATCCCGGGCCAGGGAACTAACCCACATGAATGCAGCAGGTCTCTTGTCTTGCTGCTCCCCACAGCAGTGTACTTTAGTCAATGTGCCTGTTCTGCTCCCTACTCAGTCTCTGGTGAATCCTCTTATTTCCCACACTTCTGGTATACACCTCGTTCTTATGTGAATAAACAAATAAATAAGTCTTCAAAAAATAAGAGATGAAAGGAGAATAAAATAGTACATAGAAAAGTACTACTAGTAAAATACCAACAAAATACTGTGCCCAAGACAGGTCAAACAAACAAAACTTAAGTATACAAAAGAGCTAAGCAAGATGTTGTGTGGACAACATCTTATGAATGTATATTGAGTTTCACATTTTCAAAATTTAAATTTACTTTCACATCTGCACAGGGAACATTCCTGATAATTGAATATATAATAAATCAAAGAAAAACTCAATAAATCCCACAAAGAAAAAAATTACAAATAACACACTATAATTCTCTCATATTCTAACTACACAATCAGAACTTGTCAAAGTAAGGTGCAGTCCTCTTTCCACACCCCAGTTGTCTAATGAAGGAGGCAGGGCTAAAAACCTCTGTCTCTACCAAGCAAACTCATATGAATGGATCACCAATCTTTATTGAACTTCTGGGATTTTGTTAATTCACAACAAACTCAAAAGAAATATATTTTAATTTCTAAATTACACTGAAACAACTTTTAGCTCTTTAGTTTCAAACCAATGTTGTATGCAAAATGTCTAGTATTGGTACTTTTTCTAATGTTCACTCATAAGTAAAAGAAATATATATATATATATATATATATTTTATAAATACCTTGTAACCAGGACTACCCATCAATCCATCCTTTCCATCTCTTCCTTGTTGTCCCTGAAAAATAAATGGATGTATTTCAACCTTTCCCCTTCAAGAAAGATAGGAGATAATTTTAATGTAAAATTCTTAACAATGTTTTCTAGCAAACTTACAGTAGGTCCAGGAAGGCCAGGAAAACCAGCATTACCCTTTTCACCTTTTGCACCCTGTATTTAAAAATGAACACTTAAAAAACAATCCTTACAATAATGTTTTAAAATTCCAAATCAAATAGGAAAGTGAGAAAGTTAACCTCATTATGTAGGGACAGAATTCATGGAAGTACAGTTCTGTTGGCTGTGTGACATTTGAGAAAATCTTATTTGACCAGGCCAGTGGACACAATGTAAGACACGAAAATATATATACATAATTATTATAAATATCTAAACACTGAAACTATATGTTAGCAAAACTTACATGTTATAAGAGTTTTACACACAGAGAGAATATTATCTTTCTTCAATATGAAAAAATACCAAGGCCTGTAATACTGATTCTTAGTGGGTACACCAACCCAGTAGCTACCAATCCCCAGGAAACTCTGTAAGTATTTTCAAAGGTCAAAAAAATCAGCAATGCAATCAATCTATTCTTACAGAATACCATGTGCACAGTAGTTAGTGATTTTTCCACTATCATTGATCTGAATAAATCCTTTAAGAAAGGTGAACAATGCTAATTGCTATAATGGTAGACTGGAGCTGAAACTCAGTATTTCTATTTCAAAAATACTGAAAGTTCAATATAGGTACTTCATTTTGTGACTCAAACTTCCCTTTTTGCCATAAAATCCAGGTGATCCTTTATCTCCTTTGTGGCCTATTTCTCCCTAAAAGACAAAACATAGAGGTGACTTAGAGAAATATTCCTTAACAAAAAACACCAATTATAAACAAATTTAATAAGTGAACATCAAAATAAGTAAAAATAAAATAATTGAAAGTTTGCTCAATGAAGTACTATTTTCTGGATTTTATAAACAGTCACAATATTAAAAATGTTCGTATAGGATTTTAGCTAAGAAAAATTCTTCATTGTAAAACTCATTAATTTCTAAATATTATAACAATTATAAAACAAAATTTTAAAGGGAATATTTTTAAATTTCATATAAACAATTACAGTAATCTTAGCCTAATTATTTTAATATATTGTACTTAAATTTATATATGAATGTTTATAATGCATCTGTAACAACGTATTCTCAAAAAGAGATAAAATATGGATTGCTGAATTTAAAAGGAACAGATTTCTTCAACCTTTGATCCTGGCATTCCATGAAGCCCAGGAAAACCAGGAAGTCCACGGTCACCCTAAACATAAAACTGAAATTTATTAAACAGAAAAAATTTCAGCTGAAACAGTATCATCACATATTCTTCAACCTCACCCTGGTTAAAATCCACTGGAAATAAATGTGCAAACAGTTAAGTGCATATCTATAATACCTTAAAGCCCTATCTCTGTGCAAGATGTATTTCCACTTACCAAGGTTTCATTTATGACCACACAGGGAAGGTAGATGGAGATTAGGAGGACCTCATCAGTAATCCTGATCCCACTCTTAGAGAGCAGTCACTTACTCCAAAAATAACTCTACTCTTATAATAACAAAGCCTTAAGAGTCAACTATGAAATGCTTTTGTGACAATACTTTCTGAAGACAGTTAAACTCAGAGATCTCATCCAGCTCAGCACAGACAGACCCTGAATTAAAATCTCAACACACTCTAGTTTCTACAACATTTTTAAATTGTTAATCCCATGATTTGTCCATAGAAGGTATCTATTGGTAAATGACTATGAAGATGAAAATCCCTACAACAGCTTACAAAAGCGAAATGAGGAAAATCTTAACAGTACCATATATCATAGACATAGTTTTCATATTTAAGTCTATGGGAAAATGGTGGCTGATGTTGTTTTAGCTTCAAAATTTTAATTGTGAAACACAGTGAAGAGAGGGCCAGTCAGTCATGGACTCACTTCTATTAAAGCAAATTTTATTTAGGCAAAGTATATACTGTTAATTACTCTTAGTGTGTTTGGTAGGAAGAAAGATTATGGAAATAGTTTATTATGCTTAATATAATTCTTTAAAATTTTGAATTTTTGTAAAGATTTTTTCTTCACCTGTTTCAAAGAGTGATATATTTGTTCAAGGCTTATAGAATTCTCTTTTTACTCTAAACTTCATATTTATGCATTTAATTCACCAAACCACACAATTACATTACCACGAGTAGGTTTTCAGCAGCATTTACTAATTCCCACTGTACAAGAAGGAATTAACCACTCACATCAGCCAATAACTCATTCTACCTCTACAGCTAAGAAGCACGAATACTCTTAACTTTCCATTACAACTTTGGTTAAATCAGTACTCTTGATTGGAACATTAAGATTCAGTGCTATAAATAAATTGTTTTGCTGCTCAAAAGTTTATTTTCTGGCCCTTCCTGGTGGCACAGCAGGTTAAAGCACTGCACTAAGAAGCTAAAGCCACTTCGGCGCCACTTCCGCACGAGTTCGATTCCCACCTGCCCCAGACATGGCGGGGCAGACCTCTCCTGACCCGCCCGCTGCTCCCCTCAGCAATGTACTTTGTCGATCTGCCTGTTCTGCTCCCTGCTCTGTCTCTGGTGAGTCCTCTCACCCTCCGCATCTCTGGCTTGTACCACAGTTCTGTATGAATAAATAAATCTTTTAAAAAAAAAAGCTTATTTTCCTAGAATTCAAATTTGTCATTTGTCATTTTTTTTCCTTTTTTTAACTTGGACTGCTTAGTTCCCTGTAAACTTACTGCAATATTGAACTCCAAACTGTCTCCAATTATTAAAACTACTAAATATACTTACATACTAAATACATTTACATAGGAATGTCATGATCTTTAGTAAATATTTCCTAGAACCTTCATTTGTTTCAGTATAGATTTATTGTTTTCTGTGACTGTTTTTATCCCCTTGTTTAGTGAAGGAATTTATGGGAGATAACTTTTGGGATCTTAGGTTTCTGAAGATGCCTTTATTCTTATTGACAATCTGCATATAACAGTATAGCTTAGACTTTTTTCCCCTTCAGATCTTTGAAGGCTTTATTTTAGTGTCACATATGAAATATTTTGATACCTAAATATTTATGTGTATTTTATTACTTCAGTTGCAGGAATAGTGGTGATTGTAGTTTCTTTTCTTCTTAGAAAGCTGGTAGAGGCCCTCCCTGGTAGCACAATGGGTTGAAGTGTGGCACTGTGAGGCTAGCAGCAGCCATTTCAATGTGAGTTCAATCCCAGGCCAGAGGCATGACCCACATGGTGCAGCAGACTTGTCCTATCTCACCCACTGCTCCCCTCAGCAGTGTACTTCATTGATCTGCCTGTTCTGCTCCCCACTCTGTCCTTGGTGAATCCTCTCACCCACTGCACCTCTGACCTATACTCCAGTTCTGTATGCATAAATAAATAAAACTTAAAAAAAAAAAAAGCTGGTAGTTTTCCTTAAAGTGTTTTTTAATTATGTAAGGTATTTCTTAGTTTCCAGGGATAGATTTAAAGCATATTATAAAAAGAGTTATATTTGAGGTTCATTTGGAGGATAAGTGTCATAATTAATTTTATAAATTAAGGGGAAAAATCCTGCAAAATCTATACTATTATCTGACATTTGAAAAACAAATGTTAAAGTCAGCAAGAAAATACATCTAATTTTAATTATCTTAAGTGGAAACTCCTACCATGGAAGTTTTGGGAGGAAATCCACAAAATGAAAATGATTCTGGGAAAATATCCTAATGGAGAACAGTATTGTGTGGAACAAGCTCTCAAAGGTCACCGCGTAATGCCTGGAAAAATTATCCTGGACAGCCACAAGTCAAGGCCAACTCAGAGGTATAGTTTTTAACCTTGCCAATTCCACAAGTTATAAACTATATTAGAGAGGAATAATCAAGGAAAAGCTTTTTAACTAACCTACTGCATTATTTTAACTCTAGACAATCATACTAGGTAACTCTAAAGTCATAGGGAATGTGAGAAGGGAACTTAGGTGGTAGCATAAGGTGATTAGATTTTAGACCCATAATGACTGTGTCTCATTAGAGTTTTATGCTCAATGAATTTCAGAAAACAGTCAGCTCTGAGTGAAATCATTACCAGGCTGTAAAAAAAATATCTTTATGTAAAAATGTATCTTATGTATCTATTCATGAGAATGTAAGGCATTATAAAATTCACATACTTCTACATAGAAGATTTGACTTAAGATTTGACTGAGAGAATTATTATAATTCCTTTATTTATAAATAAAACAATTTATCCCCCCCCCAAAAAAATATACTCTAGTTCTCTTAAGATGAGCAAATAATCTTCCCCCTTTTATACCTGGTCTCTAAACCCAAATATATTTATTCACCCATTCTAATACCTTCATTCATACATTCAAACTATTTACATCCCTCCACCTACTAGCAACTCAGGCAATTTATGCAAATGTTAAAGAAATAGTAATGACCCTGTAGACTAGCATGTACATGAGGTGCCTGGCACAGGGTCTCCCCAGACAGATATCCTCATCATCCAGTGGAATTCCCTGCTCACCTGGAGATGTGGCTGTCGATGATGAAATCATGAAAGAATACAAATAAAAGATCTTTCCCATTCTGTGGGTCTGACCTCCTCCCTATGGGCTCTGAAGTTTTCTTCATCCGTTAGAAAGGCAGAAACTTCCTAGATACCCAGAACCATTTAGTAGGTAAGAGAAAGTATATACTTCAGAAATTATCTAAGTAGGGCCAGACTGTTCTACTTCCTCTCACTCTTTTCAGGTTATAAAGCTGCCTTGATCTATTCCACCTTATTTGCCTCTTTTTCAGTCCCTAAGCCTCCTGTTTTCCCAGATGACTGTTCTAACCCATGTCTTGTCTATGGCACCACAGAATACCCCAAACTACATCCCAATTACAACCATGTTATTTAATAAACAAAACAGAACAATAACATGGCAATTAGTTATTTAAGAAGAATTGTACTAGGATCCTATCTAAGTACATTTCATGCCTTATTTTACTAAATTCCCCAATAAACCTATAAGGAAATAAATATTGTTTTAATGAAGTAAAATTCAGAGATAGTCAGTAGTATTCCCCAAATCGAATAGCTTGAAAGTAGCAATTTATCAGATTCCAGAGATGAAATTTCAAGTTATAATTTTTTACACAAACATAAGCAACTATATAAACATAAAATAAACTTGACTTAAATCAGTGTTTCTCAGATGTTAATGCTGTGCACATCATTTTTAAAAGGTAATCATTTTATAAGATTATAGTTAGAAATTAATACAAGTTGTGTGTGTGTGTGTTTTACAGAAACAAATAGCAAAATGCCTTCAAAGAACTTAATGTGCTTTAGGAATTAAGCTAACAGACTTGCATAGGAGTCTGGGAAAATATAAATGAGTACCTTGTTTGCAGACCAGTTACCAGGGCCAATAGGCTTCCACTGGATTGGGATAGGGTTAGGGGGTTGCTAACATTCAAAGGCATGTTCTTCAATAGCAAGCCTAGCACACCTCAGTATTGTAAAAGAAGAGTCAGCAATGCAACCTAAGAAGAAAAGTCTAGTAGAGCTAAACCAATAGGTCACCTGCCAGATTGGCACCTATACTGAAGATGGATACAAGGGTTTGCTGAGGCTAACAAGTTGAATATTCCATTCACACAATTCACTTCCCTTTAAGAAGGTAGTTCCCCAGGAGACCTAGCCATGGGAAAGAACATGACATCAGGGCAATGGCAACACCCTTTTGTCTTCCAGGGGGCACCTAGGGGTTCTAGGGATAACTACTTTCATTTAGTGGTAAGAGCCTTCTATGTGCATTATTAAGCCAATGGTCACTAGCAAATTTCTGAGACCCTACATCGATTTTCCCAAGATCAGCAGAAAAGAAATAGTCACCAAAGATACCCTCTTTTGTCTTCCCTGAAAGACTAAGATGTGGAATATATTTTTGTTTGTATTTATTTACCTTTTCACCATCTCTCCCTGGTTCTCCTTTGTACCCAGGTAGTCCTCGAGCTCCCTAAATTAATCACAATGTGAAATTATGTTAATAATTATTTTTGGTTGGCTGGAAACAGTATTTCTAAATATATATATATATATATATATATATATATAAATATCACCTACTTGTATCCCTGGAGATCCTGGAACACCTGGTGATCCTGAGATTCCTTGATATCCCTAAAGAAGAGTCACAAGAAATAGTTATTTCACTATGTTCAGAATGAGCAACTGTCATTTCAGAATTCACTCCTGTCTTCTGACACCTAAAACTCCACTCAATGACAGTTTTTAAAACAAAATAAGAAAGAGTCAAATGCTTAATAAGGAATTATTTCCCTTCAGCCTTTAGGGATCTTTAAAAAACATAGAGGAGAAAGGTATTAAATATCTCTAAATTAATAAAAACAACCAGAGATACTTCAATTAAAAAGGAAGGTTTGAAGATGGAAACCCAGAGCCCGTGTTCACAACTTTTAAGGGAATGCTTGGCACCCTGAGTATATTCAGGATGCCAAGAGAAAAACACCTAAGATTGAACAATTAACAAATGTAATACATTTTGAAAGTGCCCAATTAATGACAATCAACTAAACCTTGATGACATTATTCTTCACAGTTAGTCTATAACAGCTTTTGGACAGCTCACTTCAGAAAGATGCTAATGTTAATACCAAGAGTTTGGCTTACCATGTTCCCCACCCCTCAACTCCAAAGCAGTGCTATCTGCTGAGACTGAGATCCCTTTCATCTCCACCACTTCTTATATATCTCTTCAAAACTAGACATCTGGTAAAATGGCACATTTTTTCAGATAGGCAAAAAATTCTTCACTCAGTACATGGTTATTAAACTTCAATGAAGCTTGCAATTTCTGAGCAGTTTTCTAAGTTTCCCAAGCTCAATGACAGGTTGACTTGACCACCGGATACGTAAAAGCACATTTAACTCTTATGCAGGTTCCATCTTTTGCCTACTCTAGTCATACTTCAGCTTTCTCCTGGCTTACTATTTGTGCACAGTTACTGTTGTTAGGAGTACTGACACGGTTCATTGTATCATATCTTCATTCTTAAATTGAAAACCTTCATTTCTATATTGCTACTTAAGAAACTTTGTATTCATCTGCTCACTTGTTATCAGATTTATTTTTAAAGATTTATTTATTTACACATACAGAACTGGAGTACAGGCCAGAGGTACAGGGGAGGTTAGAGGATTCACCAGAGACAGAGTGAGGAGCAGAACAGGCCAACTGACAAAGTACACTGCTGAGAGGAGCCCTAGGCAGATCAGGAGAGGTCTGCCATGCCATGTGGATCACCTATGGGGCAGGGTGAACTCATGCTGAAGTGGCTTTAGCTTCTCAGTGCTGTGCTTTAACCCACTGCCCCAATAGGGAGGGCTCTGTTATCAGGTTTTTTTTTTTTTTAAGATTTTATGTATTCATACAGAATTGGGGTACAGGACAGAGATGTGGAGGGTGAGAGGATTCACCAGAGACAGAGCAGGGAGCAGAACAGGCAGATCTACGAAGTACACTGCTGAGGGGAGCAGCGGGCG